TCCAATAATATTGCATAGAACTTCTGCAAGTTATTTCTTCTTCTTCTACAAGAACATGCGCAAATAATTATATTATACTTTATTAAAAGTACTGGGTAAAGTGTAAATCATCTGTACTATTTTAAAGAAATATAAGAATCTTCGATTTCGAGGTATTAAAGCGTCGTAAAAAAAACGTACAAATAGTTTTTTCATCATCATCATATCATGCTTTAACTATCCATTGCTGAACATAAGCCTACAGAAGTTTACTGCTAAAAGTCAGTAGTAATAACTATTGGCAGTGCGTCGCAACGCTTGGCAGGCGCAGTGGCAACAGCAGTTAGACTTTGGAGATGTTTCAAAAGGGATGCAGCTGCCCATGCCTTGCCCTCCCTTAGTCGACTAACGACACACACGAAAGGAAAGGATGGCTTATTATATGCCGGGACCACACGGCAAATAGTTACTTCAATAGGTAGTTATTTTTTATTACCTATTCACAAGTTGTTTAAATATTTTAATACTGTAATAAATTATGAACTCGTATAAGTGTAATAGAGGAAATGCAATGCTTTTTGGGAGAGTAACGTCGTGAAACATCGGTTCGACCCATGTCATGCACGTTTTTTCGTTAAGTGCAGATATATTTGGATCTTATACATTGTCTGTTAGTCATGATATATTGAGTTCCTCAATCGAATTGAATTATTGTCTTTTTATTATCTATTAACTACTCTGGTAATTCAGTCAGTAACTTGTTAATATAATATTTTTGTATACTAACCTAATCTATTTTGTTTTTTTTTTAGTTGCATCCTATGATGTCCTAGTTATTGAAAAAGAATTTCCAGATTGTTTTCTTATATTGTCGTCACTTGAACAACTTTGACTTTAAGATTAAATATGTTGTTAGACAGTAATAATCAGTTATATGACGCTAAAATGTGAACACTAACGGTATTAGTTCACCAATTGAAAATCCCTTAGCAAGTTATGGAAGTAGGGATCGAATTCAAAGGGAAATACTTCACCAGAGGGTCAGTTTTACTGACTCATCAACTATCAATTAATTTGCAAACTCAAGTGATAGTAATTTTGTCATATCTGCGGTTCTAGAGAGTAGTTCACGAAGAGATAAGTGTAGTGTGGAACTTGCAGCTAGCTACTGCAATGATAGTCGTACAGTGACTGGAAGTAAAAGACTAAAGTCGCGCTCAGTGATTTTCAAATAAAATATGTAAACATAATACTAGGTTAAAAAAAACGCAATTTTTATGAATCTATTTACTATATTTTATAATCCATATACTAATATATGGTATGTTTTTTTACCATGTATGTTTATTTAATAAAATAATTAAGGTTTAACAATATTATTGTAATATTTAATCTGACTTACTTGTAAATTTTAGGCTTTTTTCTTTTTTTTTTAATAATTTAAATTGATAAATTCACTACTTTTTCAGTACTATAATGTAAAATATAAGTTATTTTTAATCAATATAAATTAATTTTAATCAAAATTTTATTGCTATATAAATTTTTTTAAATTTGATAAGCAACGAATTTCAGTTATTTAAAAATAAAAGCGTACTCAGAAAAAGACAAAAAAGTGAATGTACAAAAACATATAAATAAATAAATGAACAAATAAAAAATCAATCGAGTTTACTACTAATTATTATACATAATTATTATCTATTAAAACTGTATGTATCCTTAATCTATGAGAAAACAATTCGTAGAAAATTAATTATAAATACAGCGTCTACAAGAACTTTCCTTATAAGAATGACTTCGTAGAGCTCCTTAGAGTATTCACAATGGTCGCGTTGCTTTTTGTTACATTCTTATCTTCTGAAGGATTCCGATTCAAATAGAAAATGATAATAGAGTTTTTGACAACAGCAGGTCTTTAGAGATACCTTAGATATTTTTAGATACAAATACTTACCGAACATCGAGAAATCCGGAAACTAATTGAATTTGTTTACAAATTATGTACTTGTGATTAAATTTAAATCATTTTTGTTAGAAATATAAATATTATGTAGTAAATGTTTGAAAATCTCTTGAATTTATATAAATTCTACTATAATATTCTACTATTATAAAAATATGAGTTTATAAAATTGTTGATCTTGGAATTACGAGCACTTCGTTTTCTTATTATTTAGTACGCAGAGCGATAGGAGTAGTATTTTCATTTTAATATAAGTATATGCGGTTCATAGAGAACAAAATTCTGTAATAATTAATTATTACAACTTAGGCGAAATAAATTGCACGTGTAATCTATACCAATATAATGAAGAGTTTGTTTGTTAAATCATTTCTTGAGGATATTGAGTATTACAACACGATTACGACGAAACTGTGGAGTACAATTAGTTATATTGTATAATATACATGTTCCCCTTCGTTGTACTTTCTAAAGTTTGATGTTAAATCAAATACATAATATTAATATAATAATTAAAATATTGTATTTATACTTTGGTCCCCTGACGTTATCTGTACCTGGGGTTCTTAAACTTTTAAGATAAAGGAACCTACCAAATACCTTTTATTTTATGGAACCACATATCAAATAAATACAAATCAAAAACACTGTAATTTAAATAAGAATAAAGCTTTCATTAATAATTAAAAAAAAAAACACTTTATAGTTTCCTTTAATTTTTAATGAAAAGAATAAAATTGTTTCACTGTATAAACAATTTCACGGAGCCCTGGTGACTTTTACGGAACCCCTAGGCTCCGCGGAACCCACTTTAGGAATCGCTAAATTATACTAATATTATAAAGGAGAAAGATTTGATTGTTTGTTTGTAATGGATCGAAACTCGAATCTTCTCAAACGATTTAATTTTTTTTTATTTACTAAAAACTACTTTATCAGCAAGTAACATAAGCCATATATTATTTTCGAAAATTCTATCTACCCGTGAGAAGTCAGGCCAGATCACTAGTTAAAAATGTCTTTATTCTTTATACATACGATTGGTTTTGTAACGTCACCCTCAGGCTTTACTTTGAAAAATTTTAAATATTATAAATAGTTGTTCTCTTATTTGATAACTTCACATTGTTCCGAATTTTATTTATAATGGTTTATGTTATGATTTAAGTATTTAATCCTTTATATAAAATTTTATCTAATTCATCAACTGATTTCTATATTCAAATTTGTTGACACAGAAATGACAATAACTTTGAATTTTGTTAAATGCTGGCGTCACAACAATTATATTCTAAGAATTCTAAAGTGTTATAATAAAAGATCTCTTAATAAATATTAAGATTTACTTTGAATAGGAATTAGTAAGACTATGAGGGGTTGGTAGTAACCGTTGTCTAACTGCACTCAGGATCATAGAGATTCTGAAATATGGACATACTGGCCCATAGTGAATATGGGTGGAGACTCCATTATTAACACGTGGCCACATGCTGTTCATTTGGTTAACACATATATTCAAGATGTCTATTTTAACGTTACATAGTGTTGCCAACGCGTTGTTTAGAATTAAGGTTTATAAAATATGGTTTGAAAAACCTTAGAATATTTGTCTGATGACATATTCTGACTTCCGTTACCTTATATTAGTTATGAAACATTAAGAATGCTCTAATGAAAGAATAAATGAACAAAAACATTTTAAAAATTTAAACAAGAGGAAATAAGTATAAAATAAAACATGTGAAATTCTGATACGCTTCTTGTTGCCAATTCAGAAGAGAATTTTTAAATATTTTTGTTTTAAATAAAATTAAACGATAATTGCTTGTATAACTATAATATTATTTAACCGGAATATATGTAACATACAGCGTGGTTTTAGAGATGTTGCCTCCAATGAATGCTAAGGTTATGAAATGAGCGCACTGTCGATGTTTTTCCAAGAGACTACAGCATGGGCTTCTTCAAAAAAAGAATAAAGAGGTTTCTTCAGGTCGGCAATGCGCACATAATGCCCTTGGTATTGCAGGCGTTCATAGGCTTACTATCAAGTGCGCCGTAAGCTTCTTTGCTACCTCAATTATATGAAAAAAAACTAGAATATTTTTACGAACAAATAAAGTGCCTATGTAACTGTTACAGAATTTTTTATTTAATAATTTTTATATGTGTGCGTCTTTAAGAAAGTTAAGAATTCTCTATGTTTATTTGTATTAGTGAATGATAACTGTCTTTCGCCTAGTGTATAAAAAAATAAAGACTTTTCATAATACAAAACTTTTATTTTACGTGTATTTGACTGGCTTTATATGAATGTTTAGTATTATTTGCGCTATCAATTCACTCAAAAATCTACATCATTTCTCTACTCTCGTGGGCTCGGTGAAATTTATTCTCTTCCATTTATCTTTATTTGCAGTCATCTCAATATTCACTCTTTTTCTGATCACTTTTCTCACAGGACCTATAATTTCTCCTTTTATATCTTTCTTTATACTCATGATTGTTCATATACTTACAGATTATTTATATTGATAAAAAATATATATATTGTGATCTGAATTTTTACAGAATTAAATAAATATAATACTTATTTCAATAGAAATTCGGAGGGCGGCGACAGTGATTTTACTCAGAAAATATGGCTTATGTGTGAGGGAGATAAAATATAGAGGCGAAGGGAGGGAACGGGAGATTCGACCCCTAGACACTGGCGACGCGCGCAACTTTCAGCCATAGTGAAACAAAATCAAAGTTTTGTTGATTATTCTATTAAAGTGTAAAGAGTACAATAAATTTCAAAATATAATAAGATCACTCGACTAAATAAAAAAATAGGTATTATATTTTTTTTAATATTTATTTTTAAAAATACTGAATTTTTCCATTGTATTGTTACACATAGATAAATATAAAAGAACAGTTGAATTAACTAGTAATAATGTGTTAAAATAGTCGTTGAGAATGTTAAGCAAGCTAAAACAGGGTGCGCGGCAGCGAGGGGTAGGAGGGTGCACCCCGCCCCATGCCACGACCGTTCGCCATCAGTCGCCCCTGCGTCTTAGGTTTGCACACAACATTCTGCCTCTTTATCATTGTATTACTGCTAATTATTTGTTTGTAATAGAATAAATGTGATATTTAGCATGTAAATTATTAATAATCTTTAACAACGATCCACAAAATGTCAGCGAATCGTTTAGTTTTTGCTTTCGCGGTGTTGTTATTGCGCGTATGTGTGTTGACAGCGCAGACTTTTCCAGTTGAGAAAATAGCAGTCGGTAAGTACAATTTATACGTTAATATAGACAACATTATTTTAGTATTTCGTATTAGCGATATGTAAATACTCGTCGATTTATTTATTTTATGAAATCTATCGGAACTTATAAATACATTTATTTTTTGTTAAATTCACTTCAATTCAAAATAATTTGTAAGTAATTTATCGTACACATAAAAATCTATTTAAATATTACAGTTTCAGTAAGAGTATTATTTATATTTTTTTGTTTTGTTGCCTTCTCGCTCCAGTTGATTGTTTCTTCACTTCACGTTTCGCGGCAATTACTAAAGCGGATCGATTTTCTCTTTCTGTCTCAATGCCTTTATCTCTTTCTGGTACATTATTTGGGAAACATGAACGTATTTTTAAAAACCGGTTTACATACCTATATTATATATATGTTTTCAATTGATATATTGTCGACAAATACTACTTTAATCAATTATCAAACCTATCAATTGAAGAATAGATTAATAATCGTAATTACCTTTACTTTATTAGTAGTACGTTTACATTCATATACATGTACATTGAACTTGCGGTACAAATGAGATAGATATCTCACACCAATCTGGATTATTATCTAATTAAATAAAAAATAATACTAATAACATTGATTAAATAAATAAAAAAATATGGCTTGTAATAAAATTTGGTATAAACATTAAAACATAAATATACATCGGTATTTTTAAATTAAATTATATATGTTATTATTTAAATAATATTTATTTTTTACTGTGTGAATTTTTCTTTTTCAATGAGTATTGAAATAGCAAATGTATTTTTGGCCGTTCCTAAAAATAGCTACAGCATTTCATCTACTAAAATAAACTTCTGTTCTTTTGAAGAATTCATTTCCGAAGTAAGGATCATTTGTAACAGAAAACAGGATTCTGTAGCAAAAGTAGTTTTACAACTAAACTTTCTTAAACTTCGACGCGATATTTGGATGTTCACGTAATTACCTGCCCACGATAGTTTAATGCGGTACTACACTACTACACTTGCAATTTTTATTGTTAATAACTTAGGAACAAAAGTGTCATATAAATACAGTAGACTAAATGCCGCTATCTGTACTTACCTGTGGAATACCTTTAATTGGGACCTGAATATGCACCACCTGTCATTCCCAATAACAGATGAATATTACAGTCTACTATTACTACTCTATACAACCTTCTTGAAAAAGAGTTATCCTTTTGGGAAGAGAATTGTTTGGAATTGGCCATGTGGTGCCGGCATAAAATATGCCACCCTTTCTTTGCTGTGTATGGAATGGTAGATGTGGTAGATAATGGCGGTGGGCAGCAGCATCCCTCTTAAAACATATCTAAAAGCTTAACTGTGGTTGCCAGCCCGCATGCCAAGTGTGGCAATTACTGACAAAACTCTCCGTATGGATAAAGCTTACTTTCAGTAAAGAAGAGTTATCGGCTGATATGAAAAATTGTAAGGAATGACGAGGTTAGTCCCCATTGTTAGCAATATATTCTGTCAGGTCGACATCCACGTGGACTTCTCTGGAAAATACCGCGGTTTTCTAGTGAAGTCATGATGGGTCAACTGACCTTAATTCAACCATATTGTTTCATTCTCTACTGACGTCCTGCCGTTGTATATCATTAGCATAGGCAGGTGCACTATTTCGTTATCATCCACAGAACAATATAGGGATTTTCTTCTCTTGTGTTGGTTTGATGTATTTTTTTAACTTAATCGTCTTGGATATCTTAATCCAAGATATAAAAAAGAATGCTAAAAATTGTAACCTTGTAACCCCATTTTCACACACATTTATGACTTACAATAAAATGCCTAACTGATATTTTAAAGTACAATATATTGATGAAGACGGTAAAAGCGATATAAAAAATAATTTAAAAATATAAATTTATCACGATGTGACACCAATATTGCCTAACACATAGTTACGCGAAAACTTAAAAATTACTATGACAACCTTGTTCTAATATTACTATTTTTTATTTATTTATACTAAAGCTGAAATACAATTACTGTATAAACATTACGGCATATGTTTTAATACCAATAAACTGCTGAGGTTTGGTTAAGCATTGCATATTTAATTAATTTATATTATTAATAAGATTATACCCCGGACGTCAGTTTGGACGAGATTGAAATGGCTCTCAAACAGCTTAAAAACGGTAAGGCACCAGGGGAGGACGGAATTATGGCAGAGCTTCGGAGGAAGGGTGGAAAACCCGTATTTGTAGTCCTTTAGAGACTATTTACTTTCATCATCCATAACAGTGTAACGCCCGAGGCGTGGAGCAGAATTGCGGTGGTCCTGTTCTTCAAGTAGGGTGACAATATCCTATTGGAGAACTATAAACCGATATTCCTTCTGAATTGCGTCTATGTACTGTTTTAGAGAGCTTTAACCAATCGTCTTACACGCATACTCGACAACTTGCAGCCGCCCAAACAAGCTGGCTTCTGAAAAGACTTTAGCACCATATATTACATACATATGTTATGGCAGATTGTATATGTATTAAATTGAATATGAAAAAAATTTAAATCATGTTTAACGTCCATGTTACACTTATACCTGTAACATACCTGTCATATTTTCGAAGTTGTCGACGAGTATGTATACCTGGGACAACTTATCCGACTGGGTAAGTCCAACTTCGACCAAGAGGTCAACCGACGAATCCAACTCGGCTGGACAGCGTTAGAGAAACTACGCCGTATCTTTTCATACAGAATACCTCAAAGTTTGGAGACGAAGGTCTTCAAACAGTGCATGTTGCCAGTGATGACTTATGAAACCGAAACAATCCTACACTATTGTCTGTATGCGAAAGCAAATTACTCAGCGAGCTATGGAGAGAGCTATGCACGGAGTTTCTTTGTGTGACAGAATCCGAAATGAGGATGTTCGCAAAAGAACCAAAGGCACCGACATTCCCAAAGGATAAGCAAGCTAAAGTGGCAATGAGCTGGTCACATAGCTCGATGCACCGATAACCGATGGCGAAGAAAGGTTCTTGAGTGGCGACTCCGTACATGAAAACGCAGTGTAACTCAAACACATCGCAAGGATTAAGTGGATACAAGCAGTTCAGGGCCGTTTTTATAGCAGTCTATGGGGGAGGCCTATTGAGCTGTAGATGGATAATGACTGAGATGATGATGAGGATTAATAAGATTGCGGCGTGATCCTGGCATAGAATGGACTATCCCTTCTTCTCCCATAGTCGTTGTAAGAGGCAACTAAGGAAACTTAATAGTTAATGGATAGGTAGCAGCGTTCCTATATGAAAATATACTATATATATCATTATGTACTATTTTATATGAAACTGTAAAACCTACAGAGTATTACAACAATGTATAAATAGTTGTAATATCCTGTAGGTAAGTATAACATACAAACATTTATATAAGGAAAATCCTTAAGGACAATTATATAAAGTAACTATGAAGTAATAAGGAAGGCATTAAATTTTACTCAAGTTATATTAGTGCAAGACGCTGTGTTCTGTCTGTAGTTTGCACTCAAAGCCTCGGTTTTATCGCTACTCCATTAGCGATTAACAACATCACTAAAGTGATGTATACATGTATATACGAGTGTGTATATATACTTAAGCGTTTCCATCTACTTAAGATATATTTTCAACAGACTTCAAAATGAAGGAGGTTCTCAATTCGGTTGTATTCTTTTATGTTTGTTGCCTCATAAATGCGTCAGTTGTAAACCGGAAAATTCTCTTTTTATTTGAAAGGATTTTAGATAAAAATATAATTTTCTAATATTACAAATTGGTCTAATAGAAATTTTATCAAAACCGATTCAATAGTTTAGTTTTTAAATTAAAATAATTATATGTACCACAATGAAAGTTGTTTTTCTATGGAACAAAAAATAGTATTGTTTTTCAATTCTTGAGCGTGCCAATTATAACAAAATAAACTACATTACTCTTGATTTTGGTATTACGGTTTGGGCTCCGATATATTGCGCGTCTCATTACTGCATACAAGCTATCTAGGATTAAAGATTAAATCGGTATAATTATTTAGCGGTTATTTAAACGATATATTAATTTTAATAGTCCTCTGATCACTATGACTACTACTTTATACTTTAAGTGGATAATAATAAAGTAAATAGAATATATGAGTAAAAAGTGAACTCACAGTTCAGATTTTTCGAATTCACAATACTAGTGTAGATTTTTTTTATTTTCTGAACATGTGGAGTTGAATTGTGACTACTCTTATTCATAATTATTAAATATATTATAGGCATTACAGTATATATTTTATCGAAGTTTGGGTTATCCACTCAAATTACCATTTCTGAGTAATTTATGCGTATTTTGTCTGACATTGATTGTATTGCCTATTCCAATTTGCAGATCAAAATACAATAGTATCTCAATTATCCGAACATCGATTAAACATCGATACAAATGATCGATTATCCAGACTTATTCTTACGGCCTTAATTACCGATTTAGAAATGGAATTATATATTAATTGGGTATTTACCCAAGGTATCGTATTGTCGAAATGACGTATATAAAGGCCTTTACATAATAATAATATTAAAATTTAATTACGTATGGTTTAATTTCACTCTGCAATCGGTTATCCGGATTTTCCTTTATGCGGAATTTTTTTTTATTTGATTCGAATAATCGGGATCCTACATATATCCTACATATTGTGTTCTGAAAATAGTCAATTAATATTGAAATAATATAAAATTAATATTTAAGTAGCATCAATTTTTATATTAAACGAGTATAAATGATATAAAAGTTTATAGTTCGTTAAATCCTATGATTATATAGTCGTCTAAATCCCGGAAGAAGATCGAGAAATGGTTGTGTGCAACAAAAAAAATGATAACATAATTTGGTAACGATTTTTTGTAACTCCGAAGTTTTACCCCAGTGGATTCAACTGTCAAAGAAAAAACGTTGCTACAATAAAGAAATCCCTTACTGA